TTCTCTGACTGGCTTATTTCACTTAGCATAATGCTCTCCAGCTCCATCCATGCTGTTGCAAATGGTAGGAGTTCCTTCCTTTTTACAGCAGCATAGTATTCCATTGTGTAGATGTTTTTTTAATCCACTCATCTGCTAATAGGCACTTAGGCTGTTTCCAGATCTTAACTATGGTGAATTGTGCTGCTATGAACATAAGGGTGCATATATCCTTTCTGATTGGTGTTTCTAGTTTCTTGGGATATATTCCTAGAAGTGGGATCACTGGGTCAAATGGGAGTTCCATTTTTAGTGTTTTAAGGAAACTCCATACTGTTCTCCACAGTGGCTGCACCAGTCTGGTGGGCACAGAGTCTTCAGCATTACCCTCAGAAGGAACCAGCCTAGCTGGCACCTTACCCTGATCATGCATGTCTAGCCTCCAGACTGTGAGCTAACACATCTCTGTTGTTTAAGCCCCTGCCTCCCGCCCCCAGTTTGAGGTACTTTGTTACAGTAGACCTGGAAAACGAATACAGCCTCTAGACCAGGTGTCCTCAAACTTTTTAAACAGGGGGCCAGTTCACTGTCCCTCAGACCGTTGGAGGGCCGGACTATAGTTTAAAAAAAAAACTATGAACAAATTCCTATGCACACTGCACATATCTTATTTTGAAGTAAAAAAACAAAACAGGAACAAATACAATATTTGTATTTGCATGTGGCCCACGGGCCGTAGTTTGAGGACCCCTGCTCTAGACAGTTCTTACCTGAAAAGGGGAATGTAGCTCCAAGCTTTTATGAACTACCATCTTATCATCTAAGATTTTATGACCATTATTTTAGGGCCTAGAAACAGAAGTTGACATTTGACTTGTTTTGTTTTGTTTTGTTTTTAAATGATGGAACATCTTCTCTTAATTGATTTCAGAGAGTTAGGGAGAGGGAGAGAGAGATAGAAACATCAATGATGAGAGAGAATCATTGATCCACTGCCTCCTGCACACCCCACACAGGGGATGGAGCCCCCCTAAGCCGGGCATATGTCCTGACCGGGAATTGAACCAATGGCCTCTTGGTTCTGGGCTCAATGCTCAACCACTGAGCAACACTGGCCAGGTGACTTACACATGTTTTAAATATTCCTTCTTCATTATGTTTAAATCCTGTTACATCAACAAGTTCATTCCTGAGAAACCAGTGATTTGCACTTACTTGTTGTACAGGACAATGTCCGGCCTCCACACCAGGTCGCTGGGGATCCTGATGGAGTCCAGGCCGTCATACTGGTCTCGATCCCACGTGAGATAGGCGTCATGCCAGGTTTGGCGGATCCATAAGTAGGCGGTCAGAATTTGGTTCCTTTCATCCTGCACAATTGACCCAGATGTAATTTTATCCAGTGGACACCTCAGCTGGCCCTCCATCTCTAGAACACTTGTTCTTCACATGAAATTCCAGGAGCACTGCTCTTTTTTCTGTGAGTGAGAGCTCTCTCAATCTAGCCCCTTGACTGACTGCCAAGGCCATATTTTTTCTGCTATATTTAGTGTTTGGAATGTTAAGTGGACAAATACTTAAGTCATCAGATCTTTGCACGAATCCACTGCCCAAATTTCTCCAAAACACAATTATCAGGTGATTCATTTGAATGAGAAAGTCAGGAAATATTTACAATGGACAGAAGAAAAATCAAGATTCATAACTTTGTGTAATTAAACACATATAAGCAGTAAATAAGGTATGTCATCTTAAAACACCACCTTTGTGTTTATTAAATTGGAATAAAATGCACATAACATAAAATGCACATAACATAATATGCACATAACACAAAACTCACCATTTTAACCATCTTAAAGATTTACATTTTAATCATTCGGTGGCTTCCATAAGATTCCCAGTGTTGTGCACCCATCACCACTATCTAATTCCAGAACATTATGTCACCCAAATAAGAAACCCTAAGACTGTCAAGCAGTCACTCCCTGGTCCCGTCCTTTCCACCGCCCCGGCAACCGATACTCTGCTCTGCCTCTGTGGGTTTGCCTATTTTGGACATTTCATAGAGATGCAGTCATGCGATATGTAACACCCTCTTTCTTTAGATGATCTAAAACTATTACTGTTAATGGCCGGGATAGGTAACAATTAGCAAAATTAATTTTGTAGAACGCTTCCTTCCCCTGGTGTCCCCCTCTCCCACCCGCTTGCACACAGAGCTGTCTGTTCTCCTTCCCTCTCAAATTCCCAGTTAAAACTTCTCTTTGAAAAGCACTGTTAGTTTCTTCTAAGCAGCATGCTGAAGAGGCACCACTTTGTGTACTCACCATGTCCTTAATCTGGGAAAGTGTAATCTGCAGCGTGACGTTCAGGACCTTGTCTGTGTCTTCTACTGGACGAAGAGCATTGGAATAATCTTCGAAAAGGTCATTAAATAACTTCTGAGCGTATCTCCCATCTGCTGCTCCTACGACTGCTCAAAAAGAGGGACCCGATCAACACTCAGCACTGTGTGTGTCTCAAGGCAAAGAACAGACCGAGGGCTGGAATTGGGGGCGACCCAGCATCAGCTAGGGACAAGCTTTGGAGGATGAGTTTTTTCCTACCTTGCACTCTGTGGACCAGGAGTGCAAACCTGAATGCACGGGATACTTCCCTACAGCTAGATCATGGGTTCTGTGTCCTGGCCCACCCCACCTCCCACCAAAGAAGTGGCCCCAGATGAGCAGAGGTGGGTACCCACCCACCAGTCTCTTACCTCTCAGTCTGGAGGCAGCAAAGCAAATCCAACAAAAGGAGATGCAGGAATGGGGCCAGTTCATCTTTTTTCTGAGCCTCTGTAAATTCCCAGCCAGGCAGCACTGTCTTCCACTTCGCTCCGTGAATGGGAAGGGTCTGGGCACAGCTCCGGGGCAGTCTCCGCAGCCGATGGAGCGATGGAGCATTCAGGTTTGCACTGCACGGAGGGCCCCAGGTCCTGAGATCCCTCCCCTCTGGTAATCGGAGATGGGCAGTGCCAGCAGCTGAGATGCCAGGAGTCCCAGGAGGGTTAGGTCAGGCCGTGCTGCTCTGGGAGGGCCATCCCACCCTTAGCAGGAACATCCAGACCACACTCCCTGGGGAAGCGATTCCATCTTAAAAGATTGGGTATTTCCTACCCCTACAGCAGGCAGATTCAGCCTGCGTCTGGGGCTGAGGGAAGCTGAACAGACCCAGCCACGGGCAGCCATCTGGAAAGGCCACGTGTGCTCTGAGCAGCACGTAAAGACGGAAAGAGCAGCAGTTCCATGATCTCCAGAACAGATCGGCTTTCCTTTCTGCCTTCTGCTTCGCATCCCTGCCTCAGTTGCCCCCCGGAGCACAGATCTGGGAGGGTATGTGTGAGTCTATGTGTGAGGGGGTGATGGGTAGGAGAAGCGGCGGACTGTGATTTGGTTCTGGGTTGGACGAGCCTTCCTGAGGCAGACACTGGGGGAACACCGTGCCCCCTTCCCCAGCTACCAGGGTGCTGTATGTAAAGCACTTTGGAAACCGTAAAGCACTAAATTCAGAGCAGCCTTGCAGATGCAGAATTTCCTTACTTGCCAAGTCACCCAGGGTTTGCTAGCTCTAAAAAACAATGGCTCATAGGCCACTAAGCCCATCAGCATGAGAGTGATTCATAAGCAATGACGATATTGCCAAGGATGATCTATCCCTTCGCATCGAATGTTGCTTCATGGAATTTTGCCGTCTTTTCTCCTCTGTGATCTAGTTTAGCTCCCACAAAAGAATGTCAATTTTCAGTCGCCATGCTTGCTCTCGCCTGGGCTGACTGCCTGGGAAACCCAAATTAGGATCTTTCCGTCGGTCGCCTGGAATCAAAGCAAGGAAACTGGATATAACCTCGTTCCTCAGGTGACAGCCGGCCGATGAGTCATCCTGTCCCTTTTCAGGAACATATCCTCCAAATGGAGCAGACGCTCAAGCTGTCAGCTAAATGTGTTTTTTAATTGCCTGGACCCTGGTGTTGATTGTGAAGACATTATTTTGCTGATGCCCTAGTCTGACTCACCCATCAAATGACACAATTCCTTGTGCCCACGCTCAGCAAACCTCCGCTCTGGAATCTCAGGAGCTGAAGGCACTGTTGAAATGGAATTGACCATCTCCTTTTCACATGAGAAACTGAGGCCCAAAGATGCCCAGTCACTAGCTCTTCCTTAGCTCCCAACCGGGGCGGGGGGGAGCTATAATGTAATCCCATAGCTTGCAAGACATTAATGGAAGAAGAAATCCGTTGAATTTACTATTTAGAGTTCAGTAAGTCTTCTAAAAATCAGGCAGCTAAGCTTTAGACTGATTTTCTAAAATGTGGGCTCAGACAACCGAAAGAATCTGAACAAACGTTGGCCATCCAGAAATGTGGAACCTCCTGAGTACACCCCATTTCCTGAGCGCCCATGAATGTAGGGCTGGTCCTATGTACTGGCATGTTAATTCAGGCTCACAGAGCACTGAACTCTTCCAGTTCGGAAGTTCATGACCCTCACGCCAGCAGCTGCCTTTCCTCAGCTCCTGGGTAGGGCTTCTGAACAGCATCTGACCTCAAAACCACCCCCCGAGGGAGTAGACGCTGGCCAGAAACAAGAGCTGTGCAGTTCGGAGAATTTCTAGAGAGCACAGTAATCCTTCAGCCTCTTCGCCGTTTGAGAGGCAGCAGTCCTGCCACAGTACAGTAGCCCAGCCATTTCAGACTTGCAAGGAGCCAAATCCTCCCCTGTGGACTCATAGGCACTCGTCTATTGCCAAATGTGAGATTAAGGTATTAGAGACATTTCATAAGTTCTTAATATTTTTAAACACAATTTTTATTACATAAGCAATGCATGCCTCATGCAGGAATATTCAAAAGTATAAAAAAGCACAATGCAGGAAAAGAAAGGTCACTGAGGAGGATCCAACCAGGCAGAGGCACACAGGTTTTATGCAGCAGCTGTCTTTCGAAAATGCCCATGGGCTGTGTTGTCGTGTCTTTGGGATCCAGAAGGGCACAGACCATGAGTGGATCCCTGTCTTGCTCTATCATGAGCACATAGAAGTGCTGAGGATGTTTCTTCCTGCTCTCCTGGGATTGGATTGTGGCTCAGACATGGTCTACCTTGAATGGTCTCCCATTGTCTCCTGCCCCTCTCCCCTCCCCTCAGGGTCCCTGCTTAACCCTTTTGGGTTGAAGCTGCTGAGAACCCTTGGCCCATTGGGGTCATGCCTCCTGGAACACCCTGGATCCACTCTAGGAGGCTGTACTCCAGTCCCTTGGAGAGATTCCATGTCCCACAAAAAAATCCTGGTGAATTCTTCTGCTAAAAGGCCCTCTCCCAGTAGCAGAGGGGAAAGGGTGAGGACAAAGGGGTGAAGAGGACCAATACCTTCATTCTGCTACCTGTATTTTGTTTAACAAAAATTGCAAGACTCAAACATAATGTTTTATAAAGGACCCCCCCCCCCCAAAAAAAGATGGTATGAGTATTTTCTCCATTTCATTAAATCTAGAATCAGAATATGTTTAACCCATAAAAAGCTCTTGGAGAGCATGCAGTTGAGCTCCCTCATTATACAGATGGAAAAACTGAGGCCCAGAAAGCGCATAGATGGGAAAGGATTCTGATTCCATCCAGAGCCAAGTCGGAGACCCTCAGCCTTCACCATAGGAGCCTGAGCTCTTGGCAGAGGAGAGCTGTCCTCGGTGCTCAGAGCTGGGACACCTGCTCCCACTGCTTCCAGCTCACTGAAATCTCCGGCCTCCAGGCCTGAGCACCTCTTCACCACTGTTTTCTAAATTTGCTGGATTCGTGCTGGGCATGTGCCTCGACATTAAAAGGTTAAAGTTTCTTTGAAGGAATAGTCCCCCGATTCTTTCACCATGCACCTGAGTTTGGGATAAGGGCTGGTATCTGGATGCCAAGTCATGCCCAAAGGATTACCCATTAAGGCAGAACTTCTTTCTTTCACTGTTTTTACCAAGAAAACCAATATAATATTGAGTTTAAAGCGTAAACTTTGGAGTCAAACTGCTTGGATTCAAGCCCACTTGCCACTTATTGGCTGTGGAACTTTGGGCAGATGACTTAACCTTTCTGTGCTTCAGTTTCGTTATCTATAAAATGGGGACAATTATAACAGTGAATGCCTCTGAGGGTTGTTTTGAGAACTAAATAAGCGCAGGCTCCCAAGGGCCCATACCAGGTTCCTCGGAGTAAAACCCAAATCTTACCCACGGCTACAAGGCCCCGGACATTCTGGCTCTAACACTCTCCTCTGGTTTACTGCACCCCAGCCACACTGGCCTCCTTGCATTCCACAAACACACTAACTACTCCCTCTCAGGGCCTTTGCTCTTTCTGTTCCCTCTGCCAGGGTGCCCTTGGCCATATCCTGGTGGCTCCCCCTCTCTCTTCCTTCTTAGTTCAGCTCAAATGCCATCTTTCTTGTTGACCCTACATAAAATAACACCTCACTCCCTCTGTCCACCTTCCCTGCTGCACCTTCTCATCACACTTAAGACCAGCTGATGTATATGCACATGAGTGCCCTTACTTGCTTAGTGTCTAATCTCCCTATGGAAATTCAGTTCCATGAGAATGGGAGCTTGGCCTTGTTCCATGCTGTACTCTCAGATACAGAGAAGATACTTGTTGGTTGAATAAATGAGTAATATCTAGAATGGGGGCGGTGGGGAATCTAAAGAATCAAAAAGTGGGGAAAGGCCAGCTTTCAGACAAAAGAAGGTAGATAGACTTCCTCTGATTTATAAGCTTACCAGATTCTTTTTAGCACTCACGGCTGGGGTGTTTTTATAGCCTTATCTTGCTAATCTACTGCTGTATCTATTTTCACCTATGTCACAGCAAAACTCCTTGAGAACATGGATCATAATATCTACTTCTCTATATGCAGCCTGTGCTGTATTCACAGCCCTAGCTCTAGGGGGAACAAGCACCAAGATCAATTAGCAGCACCTGCCATGGCTGCAGAAGGAGGGCGTGGAGGCATCTCTCCATGTCTCTGCTGACCCAATGCAACAGAAAGAACATAGAGACACAGCAGTTGTCCCGAGGTCCAGGTTCAAGTCCTGGAACCACCACTCAGTAGTTATATGAGCTAGAGCAATCACAAGATTTCTTCAATTTCAATTAAGGGTAGTATGAGGATTAAAGAGAAAACTTAAAGTGCCAAGCATGTACTCGGCATATAGCAGGCTCTCAACTGAACCACATGGACTCCAGTGGCCAGCAAAACCTCCATCGGTAAAAAGAGACTCACCCGTTGCCAACAGAAGAGCCAAGTTCATGAGGTGTCATGAGCCGGTGATAAGGGATATGCCGTTTTCTGGGGCAGAAGAACAGCTGATACATGATACGGGGTATCCGATGTGTGCAGGTGAGTGATCCGGGGACTGTGGCAGGCTCTGGTGTCTGTGCCTTGTCAGAGGGCACACACTACTCTCCCTGGAACCCCCCAAGGGAATATATGTGAAAGTGTACACAGTTGCACAAGCGAGTACCTCCCGGCTTCCTCTTATATCTGGGTTCTTTCTTCACCATGTGCTGAGGAACCCCCATCCATGAGATCCTTTTGGCCTCTTTCTTTAGCCACGTGCTTCTTAAAGCTGTTCTGAAATTTTCCTTTGTTCTTGAGTTTCTGATCCTTCCTCACCCCATCTGTTCTCACCCCACTGGCTTTACTTCCTCTTTCACAGCAGCTTGTGTGACTTCAATTGCACAACATTTCCCTGCTGTTTGATTGACAACGCATGAGTTAGGTGAAGGACAAGCCTGTAGACTCAGGGAGGAAGCTCGTGGGGACCCTCTTCTGTTCACAGAAGGTGAACATCCGGGTTGCTGATCCTCATGAAGAGGAACAGGGAGATTCAGAGATAGCATCACACAGACAAACGCATACCCTTCCCAGGCTCTTTCGGGGGTATACCAGCTACCAACATCTCCCACCAATGTCCCCCACCCCAAGAAGTGGCATGTCCCCTGGTCTCAGATCCTCACGTATCCCGCCCCTCCGCCTGCCCTGGTCCTGGTAAATGGGAACCGAAGGGCTGTGTTAAAACAGGAAAGAAATGAAAGGGGCTCTCTCTCCAGAGCAACGCCCGCCTCCACCTCCCATTCCCACCGGTCCTCAGTGTCTGAGTCTCATGGGCTCAGGCCGAGCAAAGAGCTCCGAGGGAATAGTGAGCATGCTTGGGAGGAAGGAGGGTCCTGAAAAGCAGGAGGATCCAAATAGTTCATTCCCAATTTTTCCCCTCAAGGCCACTTTCAAATGTTCTATTCTTTATTTCTCTTTTTACCTATCATTGCCATTGACCTAGACTCCTTACACTTGAATTAAAGGAGAGGAGACTGAGAGAGCCACAGCAAGGACAAGGGAAATCGTAGGTGTGTGTGTGTATGTGGGGGTGC